ATTCTGGTGGACAAATGAGCTGCAGCTCGACACCCGCCCCCTGCCAAGGAGGGGGGCGAGGCACGAGCGTCCAGTTACCATGCTGTTACCATGCCACGGCAACCCCCCATTCCCCTGATAGGTGGAGAGTTGCCCATATAGGCGGAGCTCCTTGTTTCTGACATCAGAGATATTTCAAATCTGTATCAGTCTGTATCAGATCCGTTGCAGCCCCGTTTTTAGAGATTTGGGTATGGAGGAAAAGAGAGAGGGTTGTGTTTTCTGACACTTGGTGAGTTCCCTGACACACCGGGGACACATATTCATGTGTAAAAGACATACAAAAGTGCATTTTACATAATAGGTCCCTTTTAAATCACATATTGTAGTGTAATTTATCAAAAATAATTCACCATTATCTGTGGTTTAACACAAGCTTTTATCTCATGTAAGTGTAAAAACAATACGTATTTTCTACATCTTCATAGTGTTGTTGCATGCAGAAATGTTTCACCAGAGAAAGACTTGATTGTGCTGCAGACCTCATCCCTCCTTTCCTGATGGGCTGTGTAGATTGTATTTGGCCTGGTTCTGCGCTCTGTGGAGTTCATGACGGAGATGACGTCAGGTGAAGAGTTTCTGTGGCTGTCTGATTGGTTTAGTGTCCCTGAGGAAGCAGCAGTCTGTCTGACCTGACAGATCATTTCCTTTTGAAAAGGCAGCCTCAGCTCAGCCACATCTGAAAAACTATTTCTGTTAACTTTATTTATTTTCATGTAATGTTTTGCAGTAAAAATCAAAATACTGAACCTCATGGTGGTGCTAGATCAGAGGACAGAGTATCACCAAAGATTCATCCACTGGGGAACATGAATGTTTTCCAAGATTGAATGGCAAACTTTCTAATAGTGGTTGGGATATAACTGTCTGGACCAAAGTGTCAGACCAACCATTGAGCGACATTGCCAACCCTAGAGCCATGCTGCCAGGAAATCAATAGCAGTGTGTCTTTCCAAAAACAATGACCCATCTCTGCTAACTACTCTCTACCGGAAAATAGTACCAACAAAACCAGAGTTCGACAGTGTTCTGGATTATCCAGGTCAATGGCACCTTGCTCAGAATATTTCCAATTTGGCTGGGCAAAATAAACCATATACCATTTGGTGTAATTGGAAATAACTGGCTCTTTAAATGTCTTCATGTAAATATTTATCAAGTAATACGTCTTACATTTCTGAGAGTGGCTCATGGGTTTTTTAAGTTGATCTTTGAGTCAGTGATTAGGTCACGGGTCACAGGTGCTTCCTACTGAGCCTCACAGATCTTCTGACTGCGGTTGTCTGGAATTCTACTCCTCTCATCTTCCAGTTTTTTTACGGGAAGTATTCATTCAGGAAGCACAGTGTAGAAAACCACAACTTCTGATCACTCGTCAACAGCATTTTCACTTGTCTTGAACTGAACTTGTTAAATCAGGTCAGTGTTGATTGAAACGGCTGGCTTTGGTTTCGATATTATGTAAACGTTTCTGTCCCTCCTCCTTTTTCCTCCTCCCTCCTTGTCTCTGTTGTTTTCTCTGTTGCCTCATCTGACACAGGAATATGAGCCGACCATCTACCACCCTAAACGCTCCTCTCAAAGTCTACACCAGGACTTCACAGTTCAGTGTGAGAAGATGGACATCCCTTCCCTCTCCTATCTCCCCACAGAGGTCAGCAGGCCTTTTAAAGAATAACACATTCACCAAGAGTTTCAGCAACATTATTTTAAAACTATGCACAGAGGAATACTTCTTAACAGTAAAAATGTCTCTGGTGAAAATAACAATTTTAAGGCGAGTTGATTGAGTGGTTAAGGCTTTCCACACGGTTTGATTCCCAGCTGGCCGGACCATTGGCGGCATGTCATTCCCATGCTCCCTTTCCCCACATGTCCTGTCCCTCAACACTATAACTATAAATAAAGACATACAATGTTCAAAATAATCCTCAAAAAAAGAGTAGTAGTTCAACATTGCTGATTTTCAGGATGACAGTCTAAGAGTATCAATCTTCTCATCTAACGCTCAATAGAGCACATGAGCATATAACCTACACAATTCAAACTTCTGCTTTGAATAGTGGCAGGCATTAGATTATTTTTTTTTAAAAGGGCAAGAACCAGCTTTCTAGGTTGTGACCGTTTTGAATAAAAAATAAGTTTCTACTTGTGAATCCTTGTTACCGCTTCTTTCAGAGTATTATATTTATTTACTGTTCTAATATTAATATTACGTTTTTGTTCAGGTGCAGCTCATAAACGATGCCTACAACCTAGTGATTGATGCCATGCTGGGCCCAGATACAGACTGCGCCAACATTAAGGAGCCATACCCCGGTATTCTGGTCACCCTGAAGCAAATCAAGGTCCCTATTGCTAGTGTGGATGTGCCCTCAGGTAAGTGTTCAAACATTTATTTTTGTTATGAAATGATCAATATTCAATAAACCATGATTCCCACAAAGTCTAACAAATACATTAACAATTAAATCTTAATTACGATTTGATTGTTTTATTGTTAAATATATATTATGTATCATAGACCTGCCCTGCGGAATATCCATGTATTCTTCTCAAAAATAGTTCCAAAACAATAAAAACAACTACATATTTTCTACGTTTACAATGGGATTATGCCTTTTTTCACAGGCTGTTCTGTCTTAAACTGTAGTGACAGCATAGTTCAAAAGTCACAAGCAGCTAGAAGCTCTAAGCTATTGAATCGTTTTAAAAATCATCAAATGAGACCCCGTTACCTTTAGTTGCAAATGTTGAGAAATATTGAACCGTTTTTAACAAAAAATGATTGAAAAAGTAGCTAGATTTCGGTTAATCATGCAACACTTACTCAAACTAGATATTAGGCAGGAGTCTTAGAAACACGACTTGATAAATGAGTCTACAGGCAGCTCCCCAGGAGCCTTGGCTTCGAAAGCAGGAGTTTCCATGTCTGGAGGCACACGTGGAGGATAAATCTAACACTTCAGCCGGCCTAGTGTGAGCTCATCATACCCCAAATACACTACCTGCTGAGTGTGAGAACAGCAGGCAGAAAATTATTACAATCCTTGTCTCCTTAAATTCCTCTCCACCACTGTGTTGTCTTCCTCAGGTTGGGACGCAGAGGAACCGAGTCAAGATGGGATTAACCCAGAAGTTCTCATCTCACTCACAGCGCCAAAGAAGTGCGCCATGAGTTTCTCCGGGAAGCATTTTTTGGCCGGACGCTTCTTGCCCTATGACATCCAGAAAAAATACGACCTTAACCTCCCGGACTACCCTGGCACAGACTGTATCATAGAATTGTAACACATGGGGAAAATAAGATCCAGTGTCCGCTCCTCATTTTCAAAAATGTTAGGTTGATCTATTCTCTTGTTTTGTACTTTATGGATTGTTAATGTGATTTAATGTTAACAGTTGGGTAAATCACGCTACACCTTAGCTAAATGTTGAGCTGCAGTAGAAGGATCATTTTTAGAAGCTGTGGTTTGAGTCAAGTCCTTTCAGAGAATGGCATGAGGAGTATTTGTGTCAGTCTACTTGTGAAAGCTGTAGCACTACACTGATTAATTTGCTAAATATGTTCACTTCTTTTGTTCACAGTCAGCAAAGAAATATGAATTTTCTATGATGCGAGCCACTGGGATGTTTTTTTCTTTAACAATTTTTTAACGTTCTTCTCATGTTGAACTTTTTACTGAATTGTGCTAACGAGATAAGATGTTGTGCAGATTGGTCATTTTGAACTTTCTGTTGATGTGTTTCTGGTTTGTTTGGAGTTACTTTTGTCTATGTTATTTCATCAGCTGTAAAAGGCACAGACCGTTCTTGTTGTCCAATAAAAACAAAAGAAAACCCTTCAAGGATTCAATTTCTTGTGTTTGGTTTTCCTTCACATAAAACTGCACTGATCAGTGTATTTCATATTAACAATGACTCACATGAATATAACAATGACTGCATGAGAATCAGAGACTAACCTTGAGCATTTTTGAGTGATTGATTTGGTTTTTGGTGCCAGTACCTCTGCTCTTATCGACCATGTGTGCAGCAACATGCAGTTTCTTTCTTAGCTAAAAAGGTTAGATATACTTGATAAACTTTAATCTCCTAGACAGCAAAGTTAGCAACTAGCTGGTGGCCACGGGGTAGCATTTAGTAGCTAATACCAAATTGGTGGAGAACAAAACAGAGCCAAATGGAGTTGGATTTACATTTATGAAGTACAGAAAAAACAGGACTCTAAATAGATCTCTATTTCTGCTGGATGTGTAAATAGGCAACTATTTACTGACATGTTAACAAACACTTTTATTAGGTGATGATTCTGTTTTCCGCTTGTTCCACTGCCCCCCTTAGGCCAAAGACCCAAATTAGGGTAGATTTAGACAAACTAAGAGAGGCTTTTAATTGTCTATGAAAGAGTCTCATTGTAACACTGATGCGTGACCTATTAAGTAAAAGAGACCATTAGCAAGAACATTGGCTATTTAGTTAGATAGTTCTAGGAATGGTATAACCATAAATGAGCAGAGCAGACTGTCCGAACCACCTGCAATGAAAAGATAGCCACCAAAGGGACTTATAAACATTAATGCTTTTGTCCACAGGGGTCGCTAAATTCAACATAAAATGAAAACTCTCGAAGTAAGCAACAAAGATACACATAGCCATTCCTCTTAAATTCCCTTTAGCTGATTGCAGGCCTTTTATCGAGGTAAGGTTATGATAAATAATATTATTTTACGTTTTTGTATAATCCTCCAGGGGATTAAAAGTCGTGGTAGTGGTATTATTCTTGGGTTTCTCGCACAAGGACACTTCAGCCGAGAAGCTTACAAAATCTTATGAGCATCAAAAACAATCAGTGTTGTGCTTCTTTGGGGAGCGCATGCTGTAACTGCTGTTTATTGATTTCCAACTGGATTTGATTTGGTAATGAAAGCCATAAGCAGGTGTGATCAGGCTATAATCAGCTGTGGAGGAAGGCCTCTTATATTTGAGCTCATCGACCGTGGGCTTCAATGAGGATGACTCAGCCGGACTGCTGGGCTGTTTATGGATGAGGTAATGTGTATTTAAACAAATGTAAGAGGCTTCTTCTGAATACTAATGCCCAGTGTATGTGCACATCGGTGAGTGGGTGTAGAAAGTCAGTAAAAAGGAATGTCAATCTGATGGTGCTCTGTGGTATTAAATCTGTACTGCATGTTTTTTGTTTGAAAAATATTTGTTTAAACTAAAGCTGACATGTTTACGTAGAGAACTATTTGAAAAACTATTACAATAAAAACAATTTTGAAAGAAATATAAAAAACAATCTTTAATACTTTATTAATGTTATTTTTTATAATTAAATTGGTAACATTTTAAGGTTTGAACACTAATATCCTGAACGTATTTCTATCTTTGTCTAACCTTAATTAAGATGGAGAAATTATTGTGACATCTTTCGAATGTTGTTGCTTTACTTTTGTTGAAAAGCTGAATAACACATTTAATTACCTTTTTTTGGTATAAGCCCCAAATGTCGCCATAAGGTAAAGGAGCCTGAGTGCTCCTTTACCTTTATGGCGACATTGGGGCTTATATATGGGGCATTGCACCTTTGAGCCCCTCCTGTGTCGGCGCTCTGGGGAGTATTTCCTGAATGGCATGCCATGACGACACTTCCACTCTTTGGCAGAGCTTCTCAGCGCAATCAGCGACTGTTAAAGAGTTACAAAACTGAACCAGAAGTCGAACCAGAGGCAGAGCAGCATCTGGTACTGTCCTGTGTCTGATAGAGAGACCGTTTAAAAGAGTGAGATGGAGAAAGAGAACGGGGGGGGGGGAGGTGAAGAACATGACAGTTTATGAAACACTATTAGAAAAACGTTGCCTTATGTAACACAGAATCAACTATGAAGTTGCCTTGAATAGCTTTCCTTAACGATTGGAACTTAATCATATCAATTATGATTCAAACCAATATCCTTTATACCCTCATGAAGACACAGTTGTCATTTGTATATTAATACTGGACTTTTGACTTAAAATCAGTGCATTAGATGTTTTTCAGACCGCCAACCAATAAGAAAAATTTAATAAAAAGTGCTCGACAGTCAAAGATTTTTATTTGACTTGTTTCCTATATTTGTTAAGTTCAAAAACTATTCAGGAAATGAATTAACTATAAAATAAAACATCCAAAACTCTGTATTTGCACAGATGCACTTACACACCTGCTCTGTGGATGAACACACTTACCAAGGAGCAAAAGAGTATTATAAATAAAAAACACATGACAACATGAGAAAGACATCAGAATTTATGTGCTCTTGCTTGGACAAATGGAAAACACCTTCTTATTTTAGGTAACAGCATTCCCCGACACACAAACACACTCTCTATATGAGTGTGTGTCTCTCTCTCTACCCCAACCATGCTCTCATCTTATTTGGAAGACGATATGGGGGACCCAGATGTTACGTCTCACTGGCCAATGGTGAGCAGAGAGGGGCTGGATTGGTGTGCACTCCCGATGCCCCTTCTTTTTAAAAAGCCTGAGCTCCTGTCTCCAACTCAGCAACTCCCCTCACATGAGCAAGGAGCAGCAGCTCTGCTCCATCACTCACACCTGAAGCGGCTACATCAGCTTTAACTGAAGAATCAACACTTATTGTTATTAAATTAATGTCAAGTCTGTAGAGGATCAGAGAACAATCAACTGCAACTGAAGGTGTGGTACCATGTTGGAATTAAACAAGGTGGCACTCCTGCTGTCTGTCCTGGCTTCAGCTGCTCTGGGCCAAGGTAAGAGAAGATTACAAATTCAATTGTTATAAATGCTTTTTTCAAAAAATGGATGCCAGAATTGCAGAAACAGCAAAAATACTGTAAATGTCAAATTATCAGGGATTTCATAAAAGAAAAAAGCCCTTTTTTAGTTTTGAGTTAAGCTATTTTACATCTCATCAAAAGAGGGCCAGTGCCTGTCTGAGTGCTCCCACATGTGCACAACAACAGTAGAGTTGACTTAATTGACGGTATTTCCCTGAGGATGTCAGAGCGGGAGAACTCTGGTGGTGAGCTCATGTGATAAGGGTGTGTGTGTTTGGCTGTGTGTTATTTTGTAGACCACCTCTGTAGTTCCTAATCTCTTATGTTGTGTGTAGCTAGCACATTTCACCGCCCGGCTAATCAACAACACATGGTGATAGAAGAGGAGGTTAAGTGGAGGACGTCCCTGTGGTTTAGTTTTATCTTATAAAATGTTCTGTTATTGGCAGTGGAAGTGCTACTGGTATTTGTCTTCGAAATGACCGACTGTGGCACAGTAGCTGCTTCTATCACCAGCAGAAACAGACTTTATGATCTCACATTAAAGTCAAACTAACTCTTACTATCTTATCAGTTTATTTTTTGTTTTACTGTGGTTACCCGTCAGCTAAATACAGACCAATTATGCTCTACCCCTTCCAGATAAAGTAAGTTAGTTTCCCCCCACAAAATTACCCTCTTATCACCCTATGAAAGCTGGCCCCTCTTCCTGAATGACACCAGCAGCAGCACTGTTCCAAAGCTGTCTCTCTCTGTCCACATTACAGCTGCGCTCCATTTACTTTCTGCCTATTAACTTTTTTTTAAGAAAGGGAGCTGGCAGTTCACAAAAGCAAACCCACCTTATTAGCCTCCATACCTTGTCAGTCCTCAGAGTCGTGATGTCTGAATGCCTTGCAGAGGCTTTGTGCTATCTCCCATGGAGTGTATAAAAGACAGTTTGTTTAGGAAAGAGGGTAAATGTAAAAATGGTGATTCTGATTGACTGTGAACTCAGTGTTACAGCTGCGAGTGAATGCCTGACCTTAAAATGGATTGTTACATTTTTACACTTTATGCCACGCTCCTTAAGCGGTACATCCACAGCTTGCAGTAAGGTGGTGCATTTTGTCCTCACTTCACCTTTCAACACAGTGCCAGCAGTCCCTAAATATAAAGAAAGCCTTGGAAACAAGAAGCAATAATCACATACCAAGAGACCCACTCTCCCACCTGCTGGGTTTGTGGTTAGATAAATGAGAAAATGGAATAAAAGGAGGGATAAAGAGTGGAGGTGAAATGACTTTCCCATCCTCTTTCCCCTGTCACTTTGGCCAGTATGTCACTCTTTCCTTTTCGACGGTCACGCCCTTCAGTCCACCACTGAAGAAATAATGCAGTGATGGAAATTAAATTGACTCAAGTACAGTTCTTAAGATCCATTTGTAAGTTCTGGTACAGTTCATGGTACTTTATTCAGTCTTCCACTCAACCACAGTTCTAAGGAAAATGTTTTACCTTTTTTTTTTTTTTTACTACATTTATTTGATGGATTTGGCAATAATCAGCAAATAACTCCCGGCAGTAGATGAAAATGAATTTTACCAGCTGCTACACTGGAGTATAATTATGCATCAATAATTATAATATAATAATAATAAAGTACATTATTCGGAAGTGGGGGATTGTGCTTTTATTCCTGGTACTCTAAATATATTTTAATACAAAGTAGGTAAAAGTTTCACTGCAGGACTTTAAGCCAGGAATTCAGACTATTCTTTTACATTGTGACTTTTATTAAGTAAAAGATTAAAAAACGTCTTCACCCCTGACTGTACGTCTCCATCTGTTCCTCTTTTCTTTCGAATATATCTCCCTCAGGAATTTCTAACAAATACTTTTCCCACCTCTCCCCCCTTCTGTCTCTCTATAACTACATCAGACTCCCTCCTTCTCCTTTCTCCACTTATTTCTCTCCCTCGCCTCCAACATCTAACACTCTCTCCTTGCCTTGTTCTCCGTCATTCTCTCCATACACCTTAGAGTTTACAGATTTACGAGCTGTTTTCCTTTTTAAAGGCTGTTGCTCAATGCCTACTGTAAGTTTGCCGTCTCTAACCAAAGGAGATTGAATCTTCTTCTATGTGCATGAATGTCAGGCTTAGCTAGGTGGTGTATGAGAGCAGCAGCTGGATGGCCGTCGTGAGTCAGACCGAGGGGCTCGTTCTCCAGATGTTGACCACTGTCTGCTCCAAACACAGAGCTGTCTGGCCAGCTGACTTTAATGAATGAGACAGGGATTACAGAGGATCAAAGAAAAATCTGCAAAATTCCCATTATTGACAACCTCCAAGGCATCTTTCTTTTCTTTTATATTTATGCTTAAATGTGAGTGTGCCAAGATATTATTTATTGCAGGGCTAATCAGCTGCTTTCATTTGAGCATTTCCAGTTCCTGGCTCTGTACCTGTGTGCAGGTGCAGAGGTTCATGCAAGGACAGATATTTTGAGCGCGGAAATAATTCAACTCTGCCCATCTTTGTTTTTAATAGCATCAGGGGGGAAATGAACAAAGCCGTTTTATACCTTTGCAAATACTCCAATAATGCGGTTGATTTGCATCATTAGGAAATGTCAGGAAGAAAAAAATGATGCTTTTTAATGAGCCGCAGATGTTTTAGGAATCAGACCTAAAAAAAAAGTGCTGGAGTAAAGAGAGAGAGATAGATGCAGAGAGGAAAAACAGACTCTGAAACCACACACCTCAGCTAAGACACTAGCCAAACACATAAACAGCTTCCATATGAGATGGCAAACAGATCATCACATACACACAAATCACATCACTGTGTCATGTGTGAAATGTTGCTGTTTTAGACTTCATCGTCAGGCACTGAACAACCTCGTTCTCTTAGCGACTTTTTCAAATAGGTTATAATACCGGGAGAGGGGTGTTTTCATGTCTTCTCCTTCTTGTAAAGATCTTGAATATTATAAACAGTACTCAGGCATTGTCCCTCTGCCAATAAACATCTGGCACAACCATGCCGCTCTAATCTGACTGAAACCATTCTAGGGGCAATCGGGTGCAACTTCATAAAGTCCTGTATTTTCTTCACTCTTTCTCTCTTCAGTAGCTTTTTTATTAGATCCTGGCAAAAGCAGAAAACTCCCACTCAGCAAGTGAAGCAGAGAGAGGCTGTCCTTTGCAAAGGCACGGGTGATTATTAATAGAAAAGCCTCTCTATGTACCTTGTCTATAAGTATGCCGGCTGTGTTTCAGGATGAACCTCTGTGACGTAAATCGTTAAACCCAAACATATTCCTCTAAAATAAGAACGGCAGTTGTCGCTACAGAGAAGTTAGAAATGAGTGCAGTGCTGGATACAAAGTAATCCAGTAGCTATGTTTCACAAATGTGTCTGACAGTGTGGTATTCAGGTACTTGCCTTGTGCTATATGTGGATCAGAGATGCTAAGCAGGCCACAGATACAGGTCTCCACTGAAATGTATGCCCCACTATGTTGTATCTTGTAACTTTATGAGGCGGGCTGAGGTTTATAATAACCGTCACCTGGCATAGTTCATGTCAGAGGTGAGAGGTGACACAGCTGTATTTGTATTTGACTATATTAGCTGTGAAAAGTCAAAATCGTAAATAGTGTTGTGTGAGCAAAACAAAATAACTAACCCACAGAGGTGATACTGTCCTCTAGTACGACAGCATCTGTTGTTTAAGGGGCCTATTATGCTTTTTGTGGGTTTTACCTTTCCTATAGTGTGTTACATACATCCCATAGTTCACTCCAGAGGGAGTTTCTCTCCCACACACTCCCCACCCTGCCTGAAAAGCCTCCATTTTAGTCCTTTGTTTACTACCAGAACATACTGACATCACCTTGTAACACTTGTGCTCCTATTGGTTAGCACTCCAACAAATTGTATGTGATAGGCTAAGGGTTGGGACATTTCTAAGCCGTTGACCAATCACAACACAACTGGCCAGTTAACCAATCAGAGCAGCCTGGGCCCTTATTTGGTTCATAACCTTAACAACCGGTTAATTATTGTGTACATAACGATGAGGTCCCCATACCCCACTCAACAACAAGTGCTCAAAAATTAAATTACAAAATATGTGGTTTTCTTCCAGAATGAGACAATGAAGGATTTCTGATCCAATGGTTAGATCAGGTTTAGAGAAAGCTCCTGGTTTGGTTTTCAAAAAGAGTGCGCTCCAGTAGCTCACTTACAACTGGTCACCCAAAACACTAAGGACTAGCCCTGATGAAAAGCAAAACTTTTCTGCATGTCGTCCAACTGCTTGAATTATCAATTAAAAAGGTAAAAAAGGGGCTAAAATAGTTTTGCAAAACAAACAAAGAAGTATTCTATTTGAGTTCGGGAAGCTTGTTGTCATGGTGTTCGGAAGAAACACGTTATTAGGAATGATCACAGTCATGCTTTTAAAGAAACCACGTGTTGACTTCTAGTTGGAAACTGGAAACAAAAGGAGGTCGCCCCTTTATACGACTAATGTTTTGTTAACCTGTTCTTCCGCGCCGATCTCCTCCCTGTGCGTCTCTAACAACTTCACGACTTCCTTCTTTGCCTACTTTGTTTTGGGGGCACTTGCTGAAGTTATTGCAGCCTCTCGTATGAATCTAAACTACGATGTTTACCTAAATCTTACTAAGTTATGTTTGTGACAAAACCTTTACCATATAATCGTAAAATCATAATATTCTAATGTATTTTTCCACAGTGATTTGTAATGTCCTGCTAATCCTGCCAATAGAGGCAGTGACGTCCTCGTGGGCACGGATTAAATATTGTCTAAACGATTTATTGGCTGCAACGTTAGCTTTGAAAGTCAAACTTCTTTTCGACATCTGTGTCAGCAAAACAAAAAAACAGCTCACACACAGAGTACATGAACAAGATATACTGTTCCAGCGGAGCACTTTCAGCTGGATTATTTTAGGAGTTAAAAGGAAATCATAAATTCAAACCTTTATCCCTATGGATTGAAAAACTTGCTTCACTTTGAGGTGAATTCCCTCACATACCAGCCATATGAAGCAGTGAACCAATAACATCTCCTGGCTTTTAAAATTCATAAAGTGTTAACATACCTCTGAAATACACAATAAGCTCTGTGAGTCCACCGCGGGAAACAGGCCAGTTCTTACCGGCCACAACTGAGGTCACTTCCCAACATTTTCTTGTGCTGAAACTAATCGGATTTCTTCTATTGTGTTCTGAAACCATTAGACACCTCATAAAGAAACTCACACAATCGTTTGTTATTTTATTTTCCCTCTCAAACATCTTGTATTGATCATCAGGAGCCAAATGGTTGTGCTGTAAATTCCCTCTGTGTTGGGTGTGAGCAAGGAATAAAATGTGAGGTAACAGAAGCAGGAAAACAGCTTTATAATTTATTGGAGATAAATCAGAGTGGGGAGAGTAACTAGTTTACCACAAGGGTGGAAGTCGATGTTAATTATCTGAAGAAAGAGGGTAGTTTGTGTCCCCCTCATCCCTAAGAAAATGTTGTGTCTTCTAAAAGAGAAATAGAAAAACGATTTGATTTGATTTATCAACCTAAATCAGCAGGCAGAGCCACATCTGTCCAGCAGACCGGTGTGAAAGCATTTGCTTCTGTTGATCCAGCTATTCCAGTGTATCAGAGAGTAAAAGCCAATATGGAAACCCATCAATGGTTTTTAAAGCCAGGGGCATAAAACAACTAACCACTATGAGGGTCAGCTGACTGTCGATGTTACCTCTTAAACTTATGTAATGCATTTTTGGACAGTGGATCTTTGTTCTGCAACCCTGCTTTGCTAAATCTATCAGAAGGGTTGAAAAGACATTTCCTTTGCTGGCGTGACAATAAAGAGTTGAAGTGAGCCGAAAACCAGTGGGGACTGGGATCGATACTGGCCTCTGTGCTGCGAGTCTCGGATCGTAAACTCAGCGATCTCTTTACATTACATGTTACTTGTTAGACGCTTTTATCCAAAGCGACTCATATACTCAATACTGTGGAAAATCCCCACAGGAGCAATTTGGGGTGAAGTGTCTTGCCCAGGGACACAACGACATGCTGACTGCAGTGGGGTTTGAACCTGTGCTCCCCTGATCCGAACACCAGCGCACTAGTCCACTGCACCACACACACTTTACGAAGTGACTGACTGAAGCTGCATAAGCTAAGGCCCTCTTTTTAAGCTATCATAACATGTATTCATTTTCCCGCACAGCCATAGTAAAACTGTGTGTGTGTGTGTGTGTGTGTGTGTGTGTGTGTGTGTGTGTGTGTGTGTGTGTGTGTGTGTGTGTGTGTGTGTGTGCGTGTGTGTGTGTGTGTTGGTGTTGGTGTGTGTGTGTGTGTGTGTGTGTGTGTTTGTGTGTGTGTGTAGATGCATGAAAGAGGATGATGATGATGATGATGATGATGATGATGATGATGATGTAAGAATGACTTAGTGACACAGGCATGCTTTATGTGTGTTCAAGTCATGTGTATACGTTATAATCATTTAGAATTAAGATCAAAAGGAAAGCGAAAACAAATTGCTGCACATAAGTGGTTGTGTGTGTGTGTGTGTGTGTGTGTGTGTGTGTGTGTGTGTGTGTGTGTGTGTGTGTGTGTGTGTGTGTGTGTGTGTGTGTGTGTTCTGCGAGTTAAAGTGAAGTTTTCTGGCTGGGCTGCTGGTGAACAGATGACTGCATGCGCTGATTTGTCACAGCTGGAGCTTGATTAGCATTCTCAACAGCGGCTACTCGTTGATGGATCAAGAGGAGAAAGGGGGAATGGAGGAGGACAATAAGCTGAAGGATGGAAAGATGTATGACAAAGAGCAAGAGGGGGATGATGGATGGAGAGGATGTTCCACCGTTTGAATGAAGAAGGGGGTGTCACTGAAAAAGTGAAAGCAGCAGTGAGAAAAATGTTCAGAAAGAGACGGGAAAGGAGCAGATATGGAAGGAGAGGAATTAGAAAGATGAAATATTGTAAGAAAGAAACATGGACAGAAAGAAAAATAGACAAAAAATCCATCTATTTCTTGGCCTTTTTCCCCTTATCAGTCATCCCAGAAGGCATAAGGACCCCGTGACTAGAATGAACAAATTGAAATAAGAGAAAACTAAATAAAGGGCAGAAAGCACATGTCAGGTTATTTGCATGTGCATTCAAATCTTTGAAAAAGCTGCAGTCTTAATGTTTTTAGGACAGAAAATAAAATGAGCTAAATCAGAATTTTTTTACTGAAGCATGTGATTTGATTCAATTCATTTTTGTTTCTTTAAATAACAACCTCTATGCTGACAACAATGTTCATAACATTTCTACATTGAAATACACTGAAAGCCCTGACTATCAATTGAATTAGATGACTGAAAGCTGGGTTTCTGAGGGGATAAGGAGTATGTGTGTATTGAAGGACATACACTGTAGGAATGAGCATCCTATTTGCTTGTTGCTTTGTATCCAAATGCTTTTCTTCCTGTTTGCAGGACCTTTGAGGATCAGGAGCCCGTCAGACAGGAGCAGGAGAGCAGCCCTAAACACCTTCACTGACACACAGACGACAGGTACTGAATTCCTCAGCTTAAATATTCAGAGCTGGTTGCAAGGCCAGGGTTTTGAACTGTGAAGTTCTCAGGTGTGGCACTGAGAGACAGCCATTAGGCAAATACACACTGTGTGAGATGAAAGGGACAGGTGTGTACCGGTGCTATACACACCACAGGAGGTTGAGAACTGTAGTTAAACCTGCAGATTTGAGCCGCCTATCAACATGGCCATAAGTCGGAGCTAATGGTTTGATGACTTTATAAAAAAAATTATTTAAGAAAAGAGCACCATTATTAGCCTGTCTCCAGATTGTTTTTCCATTAACTGTGCACCCGCAGGCCAACAGAACACTTAATTCATCAGGATAATGAATTACTTTGTGAACAAAAAAAACAAGTTTGTTGCTGGTGCCTGTTTGGTTTTGAATCGCTCATATTTCCTCCTGAGGAAACACTCAGAACATGCAGCAGACTAAACAAGTAGACAACTCGCCTCATCGGTTAGGCCAGGGGGCTTGGAAAGAACCTGGACAATGTAAAGCTCCCAGGGGTGCATGAAGTCAGCCTCAAATGGGGGTAGCAGACCTCCTCTTAAAGTTTGTAACCCATCCCTTCAGTTTTCCTCCCACTTGCTTTTTCTTGGTTCTGACCCATGTTTCCCCTCAATGTAAGACCAGCTCATATCCCCCCTCCCCTATTTCTTCATCGTGACAACTTCTTACTGTCTGACTATTTTCCATTCTAACCCTCTATTCTCTAGTTTTTTTATATCCATGTTTCCCTTCCATGTGTCCCCATGCGTGACAGAGTGGACGTCTTGGTTCAACATCGACCATCCTGGGGGGAATGGAGACTACGAGCGTCTGGAGGCGATCCGGTTCTATTACAGGGAGAGGGTTTGTGTTCGGCCCGTGGCCATGGAGGCCCGTACCACAGACTGGGTTGCAGCAGAAGAGACAGGGGAAGTGGTCCACTCCAGTCTGGAGAAGGGCTTCTGGTGCATCAACAGAGAACAGCCTCAGGGCCGCGTTTGCTCCAACTACCATGTCCGCTTTCAGTGTCACCCAGGTAGTCTGAAGACAGCAGCATAAGGTTCACTTATATGCACATCCATGCAAGGAAACGCTCATTAGAAACTATTTCCTGATTCACGTAATATTAGCTTTTCTCAGATGTTAATCTGTTCTACAATGTGTGTGTTTAGTGCAGAGCTACTGGACTGACTGGAATGAGTGGGGTCCCTGTTCAACCACGGTCTGTAACGATGTCGGCATCCAGGTCCGCCAGAGGAAATGTGTGAACACGCAGCCCATGCCTCTCCTGTTGGTGCCAGCGTGCCAGGGACACCATTCAGAGAGGAGGGAGTGCTCTAACCCTCCATGTACAGGTGAGATAGATCAGAATGTGAATGAATACTGTATGTGGGGAGATGTCTTTGAATGAACAATCAGGAAGCTGCTCTGCATTTCCCCCAACCCTCAAACCACTCTTATTAAAGGGTTAAGAGGGAGGTGAATAAAATACCCTATTGTTTTATACAGCTGTGTATAAGAAATCTTTACGGAAAATAAGCTAAAATTATGATATGCAGAATTGTCAATTTTGATATTTATAATTTTTAAATCTGAGACAGCATATTCAAAACTTTACTGACATAAAAAATGTCTACATGCACCATTCAAATCTTTACGTTTTTAAGTGTTTTTTATTCTAGTCTTGTAATCAGTTATTTATTTAATCAGCTTTCTTGTTCTTTTTATGCCCACAATACTGTTCAATGGCAGCCTAATTATCCTGTCATGTGGCCTTTAATGGCGCGCCTGTGCACAAAAGAGATAACAGCTCCCATTAGACCACTATGTAAGAAGTTTGAATGACAGAAATAATTATACGATTTATCCCAATCTTAAAAGATAATTTGAAACTCACATGATTCCTTGTCTCTATGTGATCAGCCAAGTGGAGCCCGTGGGGTCGATGGGGGATGTGTTCAGTGACCTGTGGTGGGGGTCGCAGGATCAGGAGGAGGACCTGTGCGAGGAGCTCAGTGAGGGTTCAGTGTTCTGGGCGGCCCGCTGAAATACAGAAGTGTGGAAGGAGTCCATGCCAAGGTACCGCTGAAGAAGTCATGATGTCTTTCTTGCTGTCTTCATCCATCAGTGCTCAAATATCTGTATCTTCTCCCAACAGCCAAATGTCAGCTCCGGTGCACTGAGGGCAGCCCCTCTGAGGACTGCAGCCGGTGCTCCTGTGATAACCACATATTGCAGGGGGAGGTCCACAGTGTGACCGGGGCTCCTGTGGCAGAAGCCTTGGTGGCTCTGGCCAGCAATCCCAAAGTGACCCTAGCCCGCACAGATGCCAAGGGTCAGTTCAGGGTCGCAGGAATCTGCTCCTCCAGCTCCACCTTGATGTCCATCAGGAAGGATAAGTTTGCTCCGATCACCGTCTCCACCTCAAGCAACACCACAGGGTTGTCTTCGGTACGAGCAGTCCTCAAATCAGCTGGTGAGTGCTCATAAAGAAACAAGTGAAATACATTATTTATTGATGTTTGGTGCTTTTAATCAATTCAACCTGGATGATTAACTATTAACAGTAATGTGGCAAGCTATTTCTAAAAGGAGCTACTTTCATTTTCAATTAAGGGTTTCCTGATACCTACTTTTAATATTCCCCAAAGCCATCAAATCCTTCAAATATATTCTCAAATAGTAGAAAACCGGAAATTGACAGAGCTCAAACTTAAACAGTCTGGCCCATTGTAAGAAGTTGGAAGTTGCATTATGAAAGCATAATTAAGGAGCACTATTGGAGTGACTTTGATGGTTATTGGACTCAGGATTAATTCATTTGGATTCCTGCTGTATGAAGAAATGAAAGGACGGCGCAAGTGAAAACAATTCGCAAACGGATCAAACTGTTTAAAACACATGCTCAAAGTAAGCCGGATTTTGCCGATGTGTTTATGTGGATTCAAAAGTCGTAAATTTTGGACACTTTACGGGCAGAAGAAACATTTCTAATANCATTCTATAATATGTGAAGCAAAACACAATTTAAAGTGGACCTATCATGCAATATTTGAATAATATATTGTAGGGCCATACCTATATTAAACATGTCTGTGAAGTTTTTTTTTCAAAATACCAAACAGATAATGCATTTTAGCCATGTTTTTACAGACATGTTTAATATAGGTATGGCCCTACAATATATTATTCAAATATTGCATGATAGGTCCACTTTAAATTGTGTTTTGCTTCACATATTATAGAATGTGTGTGTGTGTGTGTGTGTGTGTGTGTGTGTGTGTGTGTGTGTGTGTGTGTGTGTGTGTGTGTGTGTGTGTGTGTGTGTCACGTGTCAGGAAAGGAGGGATGAGGTCTGCAGCACAATCAAGTCTTTCTCTGGTGAAACATTTCTGCATGCAACAACACTATGAAGATGTAGAAAATATGTATTGTTGCAACTTTTTACGCTTACATGAGATACATGAGATAAAAGCTTGTGTTAATATTTCATTACTTTACTGTAATGCCAATTGCAATGTGTCTAACATCACACATGTGATTTTTCTGTTCAGGGATTTCTATACAGCACAATGTAGTCAGCTGAACATTAGATCATGTCCACTTGTACTTCATATGAGTTCACAGTGGAACTAATGTGCATAGGACGTGTTTATTATTGTCATCCCGTGGTTATCTTTGATCATGGATATCTATATCTTCTGGTATGCAACATTGAGCCTTTTTTTTCTTTTTATAGCTGTTAGTGGAAATCATCAAGAAGCCGGACAGATCAGACACAGCTTGCTTTTGTGAACATGGATGTCCCACAGTGACGTGAGAAGCAAGTCGACCTGTTTGCCTGCAGCCGATCATTCATTGTTATGCTCTGTCTGATCACATTCACAGCTCTGCATCAGGCCGTGTGTGTGTGTGTGTGTGTGTGTGTGTGTGTGTGTGTGTGTGTGTGTGTGTGTGTGTGTGTGTGTGTGTGTGTGTGTGTGTGTCTGGGGGGGATGTTTTTTGGTTGTTTTCTTTAGATTACATTTTGATATTTTCCTGTTACATCATATGTTGACAATCAGATACAACTACAATGTGCTGACAGACATTTGCATACAGATGAATGAAGGTAATTGAAGAGGGCCTTTATGTGGAAATATTACTGTTTTTTTGACTGCCTCTCAACTGCTATTCAGCTCTGTTTTCCAGGAAGAAACAGGAAAAAAAAACACTTCTACTATTGTTCTGTTTATGCTGAACAATAACAGTGAAGGGCTGTGTGTGTGTGTGTGTGTGTGTGTGTGTGTGGGNACTTACGTTACTAGTAGTAGTTACGTACGTAGTTACGTAGTGTGTGTGTGTGTGTGTGTGTGTGTGTGTGTGTGTGTGTGTGTGTGTGTGTGTGTGTGTGTGTGTGTGTGTGTGTGTGTCCTCTCCTGCTGACAGGGATCACATTGTGCCATGAAAACACAGCAATTCACAGTCCATAGTAACTACTCAAGTTTCTCAAGTTAGAGCAAAGTCAGACATGTGGTCCCAGTCGGCCTATTGTAAAATGCAGTCACTTGAAAATAATAATAATAATAATAAAACCGTGTTTATACAGCACATTTCAGGATGCAATAAAATGTTTCACAATCGGTGAGGAAAAACAGAGGATATGACAAAAACAGAAGGTGACGACATAAGAAACCGAGCACCAAAAAATAGCACACAAAGATATTTAAAAGACATAATCGATGCCTGTTGCTTAAAAGCTATGCAGGCTAATATATTTCCATCTGAGCTGACCTCTGACCTCCTGTCCTTGGCTTTGAGAAGTAAACAGACGGGGAGTCGATGGCGAGGGAAGAGAGAGAGTCTCCATGGACAGCAATCAGAATGCATCTAACATGGTTTTAATCAGAGCTATCAATGCACAGTAAATCTAGCATTTCAGGCACATATGGTAAAGTGTATAGATGCATTCCTCTCTGGACCAAAGATCTCGAAAACATATATCCAATGTTTCCCATCCAATGAAGTCATAGACAGAGGCAGGGCTCTGTGTACTGGAATGAACTGTGAAAAACAGACTCTATTTCTGTAAAGTGTTAGAAAGGATGCGAGTCCTGCAACCAGTCTTGAAATGTCAGTCAGTGTGTGGCCTGAGGGGTTAGACAACTTGGTCATGACATCATATCGTGGCTGTAAGAGTCAGACGACTTTAACGAGAGTAATAATAGCATGATATCATGACTGTCTGAGTGCCCCTGCGGGGAGTTTAATGGGATAAATGCTCCGAGCCGTTTACAGGAGCTGAAATGAAATTCAGCAAAGCGCTGTAAAGCCGTTTAGGAGATCCTTTGTTAGTTAGTTTATTTTTTCGAATGTGATATCATCTAAAAGACTCAGCACGCTTCAGACAATGGATCTTTTGTGGTGTTGTTGAAGATAATAGAGACTTACACTTTTGAAAAGTTGTTCTTGTGCACTGTGTACCCTTTGTGCAGACGTTTACTTACATACATGCGCAGGTGTCGGGCACACACCAGGCCAATGGAGCCATTTTGATCCGGACCACAGATCACCAGCACCGTCGGCTGCTTCTTTGCTAGAGAGCTGAGAGGATAGGCCTGGTGGAGAGACACAATAAATAGGCAGTTAGAAACAGGCCCTAATGACTGAGGGAACAGAAAAGCATGATAAATGAGATGTTCAGAAAATAGACAGGGTTATTGATAGAATGCAGCCAAGCATTATTCAGTATTTATCTCTACGAGACAGGCTTCTTATTCAGTGCAGGTAATCCGATCTCTTCCTCTGCCTCTCCATCATTCTCAGAGCGTCTGACTGCAGCATGCCAGTCATGCCAGACAAGTGTGCTAATGGCACCACCTACCTACATTGTCTCGTTCGTCTACCAGAAATGGGCCAATCTCATTCAAATAACCCTGGCAGCAGTGGAAGAAATACCAGTGTCCTCGCCATGGGAAGCTTCCGGAGGCTATATGTAACACTCTTTCCATCTCGGCCCCCGCTGCATCAGGCTGCTGGCCACATATCCCCTTGTAAATCCCCCCGCACCTCCAGTACCTGCCCCCGGGACTGTCAATCTGAGTGGCTAATCCTCCATCTCCAACACCTCAACAGAAGGCTGGGTATGTATATGTATGTGTATGAGTGTGGGTATTCCGTCATGATCATTACTGCAAGCCCCAAAGGTTTCAGCCTGCCTCCATTTTCCACAGAAGCACAGAAGTTTTACTGGGACTTTCTGCATCATTTATTATACAAGAATGGTTGTTCGTCTTGTTAAAGGTCACAGCATTATTTTGTAAACTACAGGAAGTTTGACTGAGGGAGAGAGTTCACATAGACTTCTGGATATCCATATCCAATTAAATGTGTGTCGTAAAACCACTTATCCGAGTTTTGTCACTGCAGTAAATATTCTATGACTGCTGTAATGCTTTGGATCACAGAGCAATACATTACAGGGTAAGTATTTTGTTATTGTAGGGCTTATATACATTAATTAAGAAGTTATGCATACAAAGGTGTCACCGTTTTTGTAATAAATGAATAAAGATGTAACTATTTTTCACATACAACAATTGTATTTATATTAAAAGTGTTTAAAGCTACACATTTCCCCAGCGTAAGGCTAACTACTACTTTAGTTTATAAGAAGTTTATCATCACATGATGGTTTTTATAACTCCTCATAATAAAGACAAATGTTCCCTGGCTTCTTTTTAATGATTTCCAATACATCACAGTACGCTGTAATGATTTTATAAATATCCTGTTATTCAAAAAGTAACACCATAATTTACGAGTTGTTATCCTCATTATTAGAAGACTTTAGGTCCCCAACAAATGTTTTAATGACCCCGTAATTACTTTTAAAAGATTGAAGTATATAAATACTTACAGAGTCAGTAAGTCACCCATAATTCAAAAATGATTACGCTATAATTCACAGGGGTTTTTTCAAAGATAGTGTTCAGAATTCAAATTAGGACTCTCCGCATTATGAATTTATGCCCTCCAAATGTCGGAGATTAGCTTAAAACAGGAATAAATTCTGCCATCACATTTAAAATCACTTTCACTGCCACTAATGTATTGAATACAGGATGAGGTGCATATTGAAGAAGAGCACATTCCCCTCATTGTATAATTGGATATAACAAGAGTGCATTAACAGGAGCTATGAATCCTGGAGAGGGAGAGCAGCCGTTACCTCCATCATAAGAGCCCAGCTGAGAAATCATCACAGACCCAATGATCTGCAGGAGAAAGGGTTATGGTCGCTTAGGGCCACCGAGCTGATGGTAATATGAGGGGAGCAGGGAGTGATTGCATGGAAAATAGAGACTGAAAATGGATCACTGTAAAAAAAAAAAGATTTTTCATCTTCATATCTAATGAGACAGAGGCTCTTAGTGAGTTTCACACTGACTAATCTGATGTTCATGACACATTAGCTCGTTTAAAGTGGCACCCTCTGTCTGTGTGTGTGTGTGTGTGTGTGTGTGTGTGTGTGTGTGTGTGTGTGTGTGTGTGTGTGTGTGTGTGTGTGTGTGTGTGTGTGTGTGTGTGTGTGTGTGTGTGTGTGTGTACCTATAATTAATGCAAACAGCTATTACAGTAACCATCTGTGCTCGTCACCTCCTGTCAACCCAATTCAATACTGTAGGTCTTATTAGACTAAAATGAAACTTCTATGGATTAAAAGGGTGTGTGTATTCATGTGTAGTATGAAAGAGTGATGGACACAGGGGATTATCAACCACTAATAGATCAGATGGTGTTTTAGTTTATTTTAGTTTGATTGTTTTGGCCCTACCACGATGTTTCCAGATGCTCTTTTCAACATAAATCCCTCTGATAAGCATAGTTTTGTAATTGCTCAATTCAAAATGTCAGAGAGGCCATGAAGGTAAACGTTTCTATACCATGTTATAGGACAGATGTCATTAACATAATTTAAATGCATCGTAATCCACTTAAAGCCAAATATAATTAGAGTAACGGGCACAAGTATTCATAATGCTTAAGTAACCAATAACTCTTATGTGCATAAATATATTTATATTCTTTGTACTACACTTAAAACAAATAATGCCACGCATGTGTTCCTGACAGACCTCTTACTGTAGTAATCAGTCACTATATTCAAATGCATTATACAAGTTAATAAAATGCATAACAAAATGCAAACATTTTAATATTAATACTCACAGTGAGGAACCTGCTATTTGTCAGCTTGTACTTGTACCATGCCATGTGATTAGCAGAATATATGGCACTCTAAGTCTGATAACAATACACATGTTGAAATGTGCGTCATAGAAAGTTGAACCAGCTTTTTGTGAAGAGGGAGAGAGAATATTGGACTTCAGGTCACATGGCCAGAAACACGGCTCCATAAGAAAGCTGACATTGATTTATCGGATGAGGGAAAAGACAAATAGTGTTAACATGTTTAAAAGGTGATAGATAATAACATGTCAGTGTTATACTTACAGTAAATTCCATTCCCTCAAAATAGCATAAAAGTAATATAAATCTTAAAATTAGCTTGGTACTCTCTCCTCCTCTGTTTCTTGCTCCCCTTCATGCTTTTCTACGTAGAAAAACTCACATCAGAAGGTTTAACGGCCCTGCCTCGAGACGTTGAAGGCCTTCGGGAGGATCAGGGATATCAGAGCCGCAGCCATTTCATGCTGCTGGAGAAACCATTAGAGCCACACACTGCTGAAGGTAAGCTGCTATAAAGTGAGCTGGATGGATCAATTCAGGCAGCGCTGCGATGTGTTCGGACACATTTGTCTAATCTCACTTCGAACAGAAGCTTGTTTCACTCTAAGAAAGATCTGTCCTAACCCATTTACTCTGATAGTGAGCCTCCAAAGAGGAAATAAAGAATGCAATTAGCAATAGAGGCGATAAGTAACATTTCTAATAGGTTTCTTTCTCCACTGTTGGAAGGGCTCCTTTGTTTGTGTGCTATTTTAAAATGAAAACGAGGGATTTCCACGGGACTCTTGAGGTAGACACTGAAAACATAGCTACTTTAATCATCTATAACCTAAAAAACGTGTAAATATGACATCATTCTCTATGCTTGGTGTATCACACAATAGAACAAGTCCACAATGATGGCCAAAACCCACTAAAGTCTTATGGACTTATAGTGAGAAGTGATGACTGCTGCACTTTTTTATATCAAGTACAAATATTTTGATACATTTCTATGATGCACTTTATACAAGAAATATTTCATTTCTTTCAATAAAATTCTTTAAACAGCCCTGGCAAGAGCATTAGATGCTACTGTATCACACTGATGTTTCTTTGGGAAACAAGATTTTATGATTCCCTTATAAACTCGTTGAAATGTTTTTCTAGTTTTTATGATATATTTGGATGTAGAAGAGGTGCTTCTACAAGTGCAGACAGATGGTTTGTTGCATCTGTTCTGCAGGATTGTTTTCTGGCTTTTATTATCTCTTCCACTGCAGAACTGTTGATGTTTCCCAGTTTGCTGTTGACATTAAGGCCTAAATGTATATTTGCATCCATAAAATCACAAACAATAGGGAAACGTAAAGTATTTTTCAGTGATGTTTATGAATGACAAACACTTTCAGCATATGAGCTTTAGGAGGATGCTTTAAGAAGGGTTTGAATTAGGAAATGTCATGGATGGAAGTGCAGGGTCTCATGCAGAGCAGTGCTAGGACCCCCCTCACACTAAAATACACCTTCCCACACACACCTCAAATATGTCTGTCTTGATTGTAATGACGTCTCCAAGGGAATACCTCTTTGAAATAAATGTTAAAGACACATGTGCTTTCACCTCTAATCAATCTGAAACACACACTGAGCCTGAGAAAACACAATCATGGTCCTACAAACGCGAATGCACTCAGATGTACAGAAAAACAGAGCTGCTTATTTGGGGAGCGAACTACAGTCCAGCGGCTCTTGTAAACTTTGAAAAAATGTATTGCTGTGCGGTAACAAAAACGCCTCCTGTCTCCACCGAGGTGTTGAAAAGTTCCAGACTGATAGAAACACACACAAACAGACTCGACCTGGTGGCTGCGGCTGCTGCTGGAGCAGTAAAAGGATTACTTACTAAAGACCTATAATCTATCTGGCAAACAGAGGTGTGTGTGTGTGTGTGTGTGTGTGTGTGTGTGTGTGTGTGTGTGTGTGTGTGTGTGTGTGTGTGTGTGTGTGTGTGTGTGTGTGTGTGGTACACTTGGACTCCAACAGCAGTAGGCCAGCAGTGAAACCAGCAGAATCAGACTGTCTGCATCTCCTTGTACTGTAATTGTCCCTGAAATAGCAGTGATGTCATGTTAGCAGTAGCGTGTGCTGGCGGCTGTGGGCAGCGCTCCGCAGCGTTCAGGCGGTGTTTGTGTAGGAAGGCTCCGCTGGTGGAGGGCCAGGCATGGGGCCAGCGGTGGAAGATGATAGAGGGGAAGTGGATGTGGGATTAATCACACACTCTGAACAAAAAGGCTCTGATGCTGCCACTCTGCCTGTGTCAGCTTTTACTTTTTTTTTTAATTTCATTTCCTTTTAAAACTGCTTAATTCCATGAAAAAAAATACAAAAAAAAGAAATAGCAACAAAAAAGAAACTGTTTAATTCCTCATCCCCCAAGAATGTAATTGCTGTGTTTGGTTAAACAATATAATGTTTGAACTCCTATAAAAACGAACAAATTAAAAACATATAATAAGACGTCATTATGGATGTAATGACTAAAATGTCCCACTAAAACCAACACTAGTTAAACCGACTTTAATTGTTTTTTTGGTTTCTTGGCCACTTGGGGGCAGTGCAGAAAGGCTGAGATCACAATATTGACTCATTATATTATCTTGAACTTATAAAATGAATATGACTCACATGGTTTATTTTCTCACCCAGTGTAAATAAAGAGAATAATTGATATGGATTCGGTTTGACACCTCGCGGATATAATTATTCACCTTTTAGTTCTGGTTTAGCTCCTCAAAGTCCTGAAGGACATATCCGGCTTTAGCTGCCAAACGCTCCGTTGGATGGTCGTTCACTTCGTCTTTCTGCCAGTTGTTGATGGACACGTTGTGTACATAGGGGATTTAAAGCTATTTTTACATAATACGTCCTTTTGTAGGAGCTGGAGAGAAGTTTGGCAATCTGTTCTGTGAGAGGTGTTGCTCCTACTGTATGTACGTACAGATAATTATCACCTATGCAGCTTCCCTCGGCTTTATGGAGCATGTAAGCGTCAGATCATTGTTTTGCTGTACCGTGTCAACATATTTCTACGGCTTAACACTTTTGGCTCCCTACTCTCAGTGTTGTTTTTGTTTTAGGTGAGAAAAACTGATCGTAATAGCACAAAACAGCAGACAGTGCCAATGAGAGACTTGATGATGACTTTAATGAAAAATGTAACAGCAAGATAACTGGATAGTTCCCTTGGAAATGATTGGTGCCCAAAAGCGCTGCATAGATATTGCAATCTCTGTGCTGGATGTGAAAATGTTTGCCGAAGGGTTTGCCATATCAATTTTAATAGTGATGTTTCAGAACTTCCTTCTCTGGTCCCCAATTGGCCCAAAAAGAAAAAACATTTATTTCAGATTTGAAGAAAACATCTGAGAAATATTATATCTGTAACATGTTTAAAAAAAGATGATATCTCGGATATATCAATAATGTCTGCTTGTTTTCATGATTCTCTCTTTCTTCTTATACCAGCGTAGTATATATCTTTGCTTTTTCTGAGGGGAGATATTAAATGTCTCCTATTAAACTGTCTGCCTTTTATTGATGTGTATTTTTGTAACTTTTCTTCTGTAAACCACTCATTTGGGCCTCTGCTTCAGCTTTTGACTCTTTCCTTCTTTTTCTCTTCATCCCTCCCTCTGACAGCAGCGCAGGGTTTCATGTGTCTCCTAGCTCAGAGTCTTATTCATCACAGCCCAATGAAGAGACCAGTGAGAAAACCAGTGTGGCGTTAAACCAAGCCAGTGGTCTGGTCAAAGGGAACCACATGTGCTCCTGACAGTCCTCCACTGACACACACACTCTGGGCCTGACACAGTCCAGACCTCAGAGCAGAGGACCTGTGGTTCTGGTCCGAGCGCTGACACAGAGCGAGCTCAGGCCCAAGGTTAGCCGCTTCAAATGTAAATGTCACAGAAAGTTAAACCATTATAATCAGCCACTTTTATGGAAGTTAATGCAAATTAGGAAAGTGTAAGTAGCAGCAGCTGTGACTTTTCTGCCCTCTTGTGAAATGAAACAATCACACCAGGATCTGTTTGAGTTTTGTAACGATTACTGAGGCCCAGAGTGGCAGAATGAGCAGCAGCTTTTCGAAAAAAGTGAAAAATGTTTGACCTTTACAGATGTGTTCTGAGGGATAATAGGGTAGGCTATTAAACAGTTGGGCACAGTTTGGTTTTTCTTTGACTGTAGCTTGTAACAAGAGTTCTGAATTGGTCGGGTTTATTCACAAAAAGGAAAGTAATTGGAAAAATTGCACTACTTTGATTTGACAATTCTAATTATTAATTCTGTTAATACTAGCTACTTCAAAATTGGTGAAAGGACAGATGGAGAAAAAGATTTGTGTGACTTTTTCAAAATATGATTGTATGTTTGTTGTGTTTGTCTTTCATGTTTCATTTCAATAAAAAGACAGAATGGATCAGAAGGATGCAATTCTACTTTCATGGGAAATATTATGCAAAATACAAAATTGGATTTTTCTGGTTTGTAAGAGGACTGATAAACACACTAAAATGCAGACCCAACGCACAAACACACACACACACACACACACACACACACACACACACACACACACACACACACACACACACACAAGCAAAATCCCATTTTGAAGTAAACTGCAAAAATAAAATTATATAATTTTTCTCTGCATTTATCTCATGAACACACACTTTTGGATGTGGGTGGATGGGGATTATGAATGACTTAAAGCCTTGTGCTGTATCCTGCCTCAGATGTAGAAAGTCAGGAAAAGACAGCAAGACAGAAACAGATATAAGTGGACACTCCTAATGTAAATCAAGGAAAGTGTGCAGACCTTAGTGATGGCGAGGGCGCAAGCTTGTCCCCAGATCTCGATCAGCTGCTGCTGTCCAAACTTGTAGTCCCTGAGCAGCTCTGTCTCGATAGCTTCTGCCTCCCCTTTACTGTGAGACACAGAATAAGACACAGGGTTAGCAAGAGAGGTTTTGTTCACAACATCATCATCAACTCAAACATCGTCGGTATCATCATGCCATCACAAGCGTGCTCGAAGCCTCATTAAAAGGCTTCACACATAATTCTTAATTTAACCCACCAGCAGAAACACACTGAATTTAAAGTGTCTGCAGTGTGAATAAAATAAATGTTCTGCCGGAATGTACTGTTCAAAAGCAGCAGGCCAAAACGGCAAGATACGGCAGGCCTTGTTTTTCACAACACAGAAATAATATATAATCGAGAAGTTGTATGAACAAAGCAGGGACCCGTCATTCACAGAAATGTATTAAAATCAATCAATAAACTCAAACAAATTTGAATTAATTTCCCCAATATCACAAATGACAAAGTTGTTGCAGGGGGCTTTACAGTGTGTTCAGTATACAACACTCTCTGTCCTTAGATCCTTGCATCAAATAAGGAAAAACCCCACAATTTAGGGGGGGAAAGGGAAGAAACCCAGGGAGAGCAACAGAGGAGTGATCCCACTTGCAATATGGACAGACATGTATTATACATCATAGTGTGTGTATGGATTTCTTTTAAATGACAACATAGACAACCCAAATGAAAAAGGATCATTTGAAGGTATATAAAAAAGATTTACTTTAGCTTAAATGCCAGGATGTGCTGTGAACTGTATTTGTGAATACAACCTGCAGTTGATGTGATTTCAGCATTAATTATGCCAGGCATGAATTAGTTTTGTGATCTGATGCTCACACATTGTCTTTGTGCCTTTGCTTCCTCTGGCTGCTGTTGGCACGGTGACAGTGTGACTAATGCTTCGGTGACTGTTGGAGCTGCTTATAGAATGGAGGTGTATGTGTGTCAGTGTGACAAATGCCTTAAAACAGCACAGCAGCTGGCAGGAAGAAAAGGAGCAGGTTAAGTGAAAATCACTCTCAATTTGGGATCTGATTCTGTAAAGTTGAATACATCTCTTTCACTCTGCAGACCCCTGGTGGTCCCCCTTAGTACTGCATCTTCGTAAAGAAAACGGATGATTATGTTCAGGTAGAAATCAGACTGGATGTCTTAACTTGTTTTTCCATTTTGCTCTACTTTAAAACCTATCAGAGACAACTTTAGAGCAGAGTGATGGATGCAGCAGGTGGAAATTTGATTTAAGAGTTATTATTTCTGATATAAAGATCATATATCAGAGCGATAAGAGCAGATGAAAGATGGATCAATGCATAAAATCAGTATTGTGCTTCCATTTAGCACTCAAGCTTTCAACTCTGTTACAAATCTTTACCTATCAAAAGAAAGCTCTTTGCCTAAGTGCAAGTGTACGTGTGTGTGCGTGCGTGCGTGCGTGCGTGCGTGTGTGTGTGTGTGTCTGGGGGGGATGTTTGTTGGTTGTTTTCTTTATCGATTACATTGTGATTTTTTTCCTGTTACATCATATGTTGACAATTAGATACACATGCAATGTGCAGACAGACATTTGCATGCAGTTGAATAGAAGTAATTGAAGAGGGCCTTTATGTGGAAATATTGCTGTTTTATATCACTGACTCTCAACTGCTATTCAGCTCTGTTTTCCAGGAAGAAGCAGGAAAAATAAACACTTCTATTATTGTTCTGTTTATGCTGAACAATAACAGTGATGGGCTGTGTGTGTGTGTGTGTGTGTGTGTGTGTGTGTGTGTGTGTGTGTGTGTGTGTGTGTGTGTGTGTGTGTGTGTGTGTGTGTGTGTGTGTGTGTGTGTGTGTGTCAGCACGCCAGTGTATCTATGTGGGGTTTCTGGCATTTACCTGTGCCAGAGGAGCTGCAGCAGCTGTCACCCACGGCTCACCTCAGGATGTTTCCTGAGTCACTGTGACAAGATGATCTTTGAAAAGTTCACCTCAATCCACAGGGTTCTTCCTGGCAGGACCAGAGCGCCTTACAGCTATAATTGTTGTCAAACTCATTCTAAATGAGGATAGGCAATTTGATTTGCTGCTTTCAAAACAGAGAAATGTGCACAAAAAAGTCTAAATCTATTCTGTTGGTGTCGGTGGAGAGCTCTTAACTCAGACCGATACTATCAAAGTAACAGTGCTGCTGCTGAACAGGCACTTACTATTGATTTGTAAGTAACCTTACTCACAGAGCAAAGTGTTGTGGGTGTACTGCTCAGCTGCTAGTGTTAGCAATACAATATATAAAGTATATGGTGACAGCCAAGTGCCACTACCACAAGGGGGCAGCTCACAGTGTTCATAAAGACAGATGGCTGATTCACGCTGCATATGGCATGTTTTTTTTTCAATTACCAGCTCTTATCACACCTATAATAATTCTTAATCAGACATTTGTTCACAAAGATTGTACGTAGTATGAGTGCAACCAGTGATTGCATTTAAAGTGTGAGCACCTTGCAAAAGCCTCAACTCTAATTAGCGTTTAAAGGAAAGCAGGTATGCAGATATAACCTTGCTCTTGATTGTAATTTAAACTAAATGTGTGCAGGTGTGTGTGTGTGTGTGTGTGTGTGTGTGTGTGTGTGTGTGTGTGTGTGTGTGTGTGTACAGGCTTGTGTAGTGCAGGTGCAAATAAAAAAGGGTCTTCTGAGGATTATCCTGTGTTGCACCTGTAGCCACAGCCATTCAACCGCCAGCCACCTCTCCCCCAGAGGGAGGGTTGATTTCCCCATGCTTTGTGTGATGTGCTCCTGCAGTGTCTCACCTTCATTGCAATGCTGCTCAACTGTGATCAACCTGCTTAATGACTCTGTTTACTTTACACATGAGATAAGGTAAAATGAAACTTTAATGGGGCCTGTGGGGGGATGAGGAAACTTCAGTAGCAAATAGCAGGAGCTTAAAGGCTGCAGCAAAGATACAAAATAATTAACATAATAATGAAGAGGTTGGAGTTCGCAAAAACATTAAAATGGAGATTTTAACACATGAATAAATCATTGTGGAGCTGAAAGTGAGGCATTTAGAGTGTACAATATATCCTAATTGTTTCGAACATAACTCTGTTGTTATGCAGAAAATATAGCAGCATACCATGTGAACACAATTGGTGAACACAAAAATATCTGTTAAATATAATGCAATGCAACAGCCCTGCAAAAGAAACTGTGAAAGTAAAGTATAAGACAAAAATACAAAATGTACCCTGTCATCTCAGCTGAGGAATCACCCATAAACATTGTGTTACCATATATTCTGCAGCCGAGAAGCAACCTTGTACCATGAGAGGTGAATTAGCCACTGAATGTCAGAAGGGCTTCTATTTGCTAACATTGGAATAGCCTACTAAAATAGACACATTTCTCACACCCTCCCTTTTAATTCACCTAATGTCCACCTTTCCAGCATGATCTTCTGGTTAGATAAAGAGCAAGATTAAAATAGCTGGAAGAGAAATGCTGTAGTCGACATCTTTCAAGTCACACATGGTAGCCTCAACCCGGCAGGGGTAGCTGCTGTATGTTATGAAGCAAAATCATAAAGAAACAGACAGATACTGTCCATATGAACATAATATTTTTATACTTACAGTAATAATAACCATCCAGCTATGTTTTTAGCTAAGCTAGCTACATGCAATGCAAATGTTAGCTACCAGGCTATAGGCCTACAAAGATGGTGAACATATCATAAACCTTGCTAAAAATATATTAGCATTGTCATTGTAAGCAGTTAGCATGCTTATGTTACCATTCTTTCTTAACACTGCACTATTACTAAGTATAGCCTCACAAAGCTGGTAGCATGGCAGTAAAATCAGGCCTTTTTAACTAAAGGAAACGCTGCCTGCCAAAACAAGACACCTGCAGCTCACGTTCAACGCCTACTTAATGTTGTACAAAATGTTTCAAAGTCCTCAGTGGAAGTGATAGTACACAGCCCAGCTGCTGCTACATGCTCCAGATGTACTGTTGTGTAATTAACTAAACTGTCCCCAGTAGAAGAAAGCCATGTGATGGGAACTGTGCTGCTCCAATAAAAAGCCCTCTGCCCTCTTCTCTATCCCACTCTCTGCCCTGCCTCTTTCCTATTATCTGTCCACCCCTCAGTACTCAATCGATGTTAATGATACTTCAGGCCTTTCAAGCATCATTACAGTGCCACATCAAATGACATGCTGATAAGAAGATCACTGTTTTTATGTTTATTTCTAGTCTCTTCTAAGTACCAATCTGCGGCATTTTCATATTAATTAGCTATTTTTGCTGCTGTCTGGTAAACAAAGTGATTATTCAGTAAGTGCAGTGCAGTGTAAAAGCTTTTATGTTTACTACACTTGCTAATAAGCTACATAGCAACTGTTTACTATGGTTGGCCTCTCTCAGAGATAGATATTTCGCTATACACTAGCTAGCTGATGTGTTCAACAGTTTGGATAAATACAAAAAGTGCAATAGATCTATAGAAAAAAAACTCAGTACGAACATCTATTTAGTGACAATACTAACATCTATATTCTTTTGTTTCACAAATCCAGACCTGATCCACTTTTTATTTGTAGTAATTCAATACTTTTTAACATCCCTCTTGTACATAGCAAACACATTAAATCAAGACTCTGCATTTAACCAATCCTAGTAGCAGTGGGCAGCTATCATATAAGAAACCAGGGGGCAAAAAAAGTCTCCTAATTTAATTAAATTCTATTTATAAAGTGTCAAATCTGTGACTGTTGCTGTATGGAAAACTGTCAAGTTTCTATGAAAACAAAATGGCAAGAAGAAGGGAGGGTTGGACTGTGTGGGTGGATGAACAGATGGGTCTTTTAAGCTTCTCCCCCGTATGTTTTTCTAAATGATCTCTACAGTAAGTCAATTGGAATATGCCTGTGCCATTCTGTGTGAAAAGTGTAAAAGCTGACATTGGAAAATACACATAAATAAAAAACAATATCTCTCCTATGAATAATATGAAAAGAAGCTTCTACATCATGATGCAAAGAATAACTCGGCAATGCTTTTTTTACCCG